ACTCAGTCAGAATCTGTCAGAAATCAAAAAATGGTTGCAACATCTGTTTTAATCTTTAACAATGCAATGCAACATGTTTTTATATCCAATTTAAATCTCACAAGTAACTACAGTTGTCAAATAAATGTACAGTAAAAGCCAAAAGTGATAAACTGGAAAGAAATCCTGTCTTTCCTGATAAAAGTTGTTGCGCTGCAGCAAATAGAAACAGGCAGCAGGGGAAGAATAGCTTGATGATGGGATGTCTGAAGTATTTTAAATTGATGTTTCTCACATTAGATTTCACTATCGATCACATCACATTGATGGAGACAGAAACTGTATTATTTGATTTAAAGACTTGAATGTAGATTTGAGTGAATTCTACTATCCCGGTGTAGGTGATATGCTTTCAGTTGCTTGTTCAAACAAGTCCACATAAAAAAAAAAATTCTTGCTGAAGTGTTGCACGTTCCAAAAACGTCAATACAAAATTTCAACTCATCTATTTTCTAAAGTACTCATCCTGTTGAGCAACCTATCGATCGAATTTTGGGTATTTTGATCAGAATATGCCAATTAAGACAAAAAAGCAGAGCTCTGGACACTGTGGTTCACTGTATCAGCAGATTTGTAGTAACTTGACTAATCTTCAGTGTTCAGGACATTTTTAATTGCGATAACAAACAAATCTTACATCCTTATCTATATGTCTCTGTAGTGGGACTGTTTGTCACACACCTCAAACATGGGGCGAATTAATATTCCATCACAGCAAAGGCTGGTTGGATGTGGGACTCGAAGGAAAATACATTGAAGCCGTCATATACATTGACAGTGAGTGACAGATGTGAGGATACACACACTCTGCACAAAGCTTAGTTTTGCCCCGAGGCCCCTCAGTGGGTTAATCCTGCCGGGAGTTTGATAAGTTAATGTTGGCAACTACAAAACACACATGATGTTACTTGACATATTATGTGCTCATATATACTGTAGAGGCACTGGCCTTAATTTAGAAATGTCAAAGTTGGTGTTGTTTCATCGTCAAGGTTCGAATGCTGCCACGAGACTGCATCAGTTCATGAGGATGTTTATTGTGTGTCACTCGTCATCACATGGTTTCATCTCCCCATCGCCCTGATGTCACGTTAAAGGGTCCTTTCACGTGTTTGGAAATCTGGCTCATCGCTGGTGAAATTCAAATGCGTTTAAAACTTTTTCGGATAATTCTGTTTAATTCTTGACTGGATATCTTCAGATCCTTTGGCAACATGCTGACAACCCTGAGCTGGGGACAGTAATGTGACCAAGCTACATGATCTGTGACTATGTATCCTGGAACAGAGAAGCGATAGTGGTTATTTGACTATTTGACAAAATCCACAGTTCTCATTCTGCATAAAACAAATACTTTCACAACTTAGCTGAAGTTAATATGAGGCTTCAGCAAACTCGGCTAAGTGGGTGACTTCCAGATGTAGTGTTTGTAATGTGAAATTCACTTTGTATTTCCTCGGAAAGTGTTTTCATGCCGAGTTCGTGACACAGAAAAGTCTCATTTAAAATAACTATACTTATATTCNGGAGAAATTACAGAGACGAAAAACTAGTTCAGTTTACTCAAGACCATTGTGACAAAGAAATGTAACTGAGGCTTGATATTTTACAGTTTAACCATAGACTTTGTTATAAACAAGCATACGTGTAAAGTAAACACAATTAAAACCACATAGTAACTATTAACATCAATACAAATATTCTCTGCACTGTTCGTTCTGTAAAATAAAAGATTTCCTGTGTGGTAAAAATTGTATTTTGTGTAGTCATTTAATATTTTATCAATATTTTAAATTTTACTGCTCAACATAGAAAAAAAGAGATTTCACACGTCCAGCTTCGCTGAGATTTATATGAAGCAGGTTGAGTCAAGCGAGAGCAAATATGTCATCACTTACTCACTGACCACAACAGCTCACAGATGTCTGCAGGTGAAAATAATGGGGAAGAAAACCTTTCAGAGTGTGTATATATATATATTGTGTATATATGCATACGTTTTTTCTCAGAAATGTTCACGTTTAGCTCAGCAGTTGGAGGTGACATTTCTGCTCACAGCTGTGACGGACATTAAAGCCCCATAACGTCAAATCAAAGTTTGAGTAATCACAGGGTTTTCAACGTTCTGCTGCAAAGTGTGTGGGAGAAGAGCAGTAAATCAGAAATGACAGCGTAAAGGTCAGTCAAAAATAATAATAATAATAATAGATCCATTGTGATTCCGTTGAGGTTCAATGCACTTTAACACAACCACACACGCTGTCTCCCACTCATCAAGCACATTTAATTAAATCCGGTTAATTTGCCCTGTCTGTTGTGTTAGCGTTTAATTTGTCAGCCTGATCTATTTCTACTTCCACAGAGGTATGATCAGGAAATCTAGAGCAGCATCAACTCTTCCAGTGCCCTGAATTCCATAAAAACCCTGCGGAACCTCATTGGAGCAGCAGGGAAACATGAACTCATCCCAGAGTTATCGCAGTAGTCGTTCTGAAGGAGAAGTACTCCTGCAAAATCAGAACGTTCGGGAGTTTTGGCTTGTGTGCAAAGATTTTCAATATATGTAAAACATTTGAAAATGATTTGATAACAGTGATAGAGTACCAGAGGGCATGTTGTGTGGCAGGACCTCGAAAACGTATATGACTGGACAATGTAGGATGGAACCACGGGCGAGATTCAGTTTCCTAAACAGAGCAACATACTTCAAACCTCCACTGGTGGTTTGGCAAAAAAGAAGCCGCTCCCTTAGCCATCACCTCTTGTCTCCAGCACATTCTGTCAGGACGTAGGACAACGTTGTCCCAGGAGCACTGCAGATGGTGAATTGACGTCATGCCAAGAAAACTGGCTCAAGTGATTGAGACATGTTGGAGATAGAGTCGACCTCTGTCGTAAGCCAAGCCCCTCACCCGCTTCACCAGGTCTGCACAGGCCTGAGAGTTTCAGCAGGACGTCTCACACCCAGGAAAAGGTGAAATTTGGGAGTAAACAAGGCAGCTCCAGTTGCAGCTCCAGTTCCCCAAGGGAAATAACCTCTACATGACTCCGGCCCCACGTGTGTGATGTTATCCATTGCTGCCAAGAGCGTCCTATAGCAGTCCTATAAGAGTCCGTCCTATATGCTGATTTAGCAGTCAGCACTCACATGTAAGGAGGTTGGCTGGAGGGCTTTCATTCTCCTATAGTGGAGGTGGGTGCCGGGGCTTCATCAGCATGGGTGTCACAGGGGCAAAGCATCATTCATCCACCCATCTGTTCTTTGAGGGCCACAGGGGAAGCTGGAGCCGATCCGAGCCTAAGCAAGAGGCAGGGTAAATCCTGGACAGATCGCATGTGCATCACAGGGAACAACATACAAACAACCGTTCACTCTCACGTTCAAACCTCCGGTCAAAACCCCAGAATGCATGTCTGTGGACTGAGGGAGGAAGCCAGAGTACCTGAAGAAATCAAAAAGCCACAATAGATCTGAGTGAGGAGGCTGCAAAGGGCTGTGGCTGAGGAGGAAGCTGAGGAAACAGCATGGGGGGGTACTCCCCAGCCACCCAGAGATAGATTGAGGTTAAAGGAGCAAAACATCTCTTTGACTGGAGGTGCCCAGCTGATGACCCATGTGATGAGCCACAGTTGGATATTTCTTTGTTTCTTGGAGAATCAACATCAACCTGTACATCAGTTGCTCATCAGCCTAATGTTTGGTTCATCTTTCTTTCTTTTCTTAA